CATGCGAAATCAGCTTTGCGCGCACTTTGCGAAAGGCCAAGTTCAGCTGCCCGCATCGCCGTACCTCACAGCCCGCTGACGGCTCGCGCTGCTGTTGAGGCCACTGACCAGCATCGCCCGAAGAGGCGTAACTTTAGGGACTAGGTTAAAAAGTTCGAAGCTCAGGGCAGGGAGAAGCAGGTTTGGAGGGTCATAATATAAAGAAAAGATCAGCTTTCGCCCTAAACCCACGGTTTGACGAATGCTAAGATGCGGTTCCCAAATGTCAAGAACCCCACCCAGAAACTTCAGTCACCAACAGCCTTGGGGCTTGCGGCTTATAACTGCTTGGATTTAGGACTTGATTAGGGCATATGTGCCAGAAATCACAGGTGGCTCGGAGGGAAGGAGGAGCGCAAAATGTGAACACACACAGTGGTTGCGCTTGAGTTTAGGCAGAGCCTGGGATCCAAACGACACTTGCCAGCCGTTTAAGGATTAGGGTTGGGGGTTTGAGGTTTGGGATTTCAGGATGAGGGCCTGCGTGTGCTTTGCTAGCCTTTCAGCCCTCAATCCTTGTGCTCCGGCGGTCGGGCGATGCCTCCCCACAAATTGAAAAGTCAGCTACTACCTTGAAGCTCCAACTTACCGCAACGGGGCTGTTAGCTGTCTTCGGCTTTAGGCTTCTTCGGAGGCATGTCGACCCCATGGAGGAACCTTTCAAGTCCGAGAGGAAGTGTCGATTCGATGAGTTTTCGGTCGTTCTGCACATGTTGCGTTTGCTTTTGGGTTACCTGATTTTCTCAATAGGGTTTCGTTTCTTAGAGAGTTTGACCAGTTGCATTTCCAAAGCTGAACCCCGCTTCAGGAAGAGTTCGTCCCAGGAAGCAGCCTATAGCTAATGAAAACCCTAACATCTAGGCCACAATCTCAGTCCATGAACGAATGCACGCCAGTTGGAGCCTCAAGAGTAAATCCTAAAAATCCCAGCCTAGACGCAACCAAAACTAACCCCTCCGAACCTAAACTCTAAAACCTCAAACCGAAACCAGCAACAAGGAGGGTCTTCCTGTTTGTCCAACACAAAGCTGCTCCTGACATCCTCGCAGACTTCGCTGTTTTGGCTTCCACGTTTAGGGATGGGGCTTATAGTAGAAGCCAGAAAATTGGAACAGAGGATTAGTGCTAGGATCCCTTATAGTTTACCTTAAGGGTCATGAGGACAATTATGTTCCAACTTTCTGGCTTCTACTGTAGTGGTTCATGGCTTAAGGGTCACTTTAAGGGCTATGTAGTCTTGTCTTGGTTAGGAAACCCAAGGGCTAGCTGACGGCTTTCAGGTGGGGTGAGAAACCTCGGTCGCGTCAGCTAAGTTGAGGCTTGGGGCATTTGCATGAAAATTCAGCGGGGCATTTCCTAGTTCCAAGAATGCTATTGTATGTGTCAGGAGCAGCCAAGCGGAGTCGAGGAGAAGCCCATTAGTGGCAGACGCGGCTCAGACTATGCTGACCATATACATATATACCTCAGCTTCTGATTCCTTGAGGGTTCAGGGTTTAAGCGTGTAGTTTAGGTGCGCGCGCATCGGCATTGACATGAAGCCGACAACCTGCGGCTGTATGCGTGAAGCTGATGGCTTACATTTATGCAGAGAGCCCATGCCGGCACAATGCGAGCAGGTGTACTGGCAATGACAGGAAAGCTTTCGACCTACCCTAAACCCGAAAACCCTCGAAACCCTAAGCCAATTCGCCCCCTGAGGCGGCACGTGTAGTCTCCGAAATTCCGGCTGTATCGCAACGCGAAATCGGGCCAAAATCGTGGTCTTGCCGATACCGCACCGGCTTCGTCCGAAGCAAAATACAAGATGCTTAACTTGGCACTCTCCACCTTCATATTTTTGTTCCCGCATGTGCCCGCCAGTGTTCGCCTGTGAGTTCTCGCCTTAAAATCGCTCGAAGTGTTTGAAATCCTGACAGGGCCTCGGTATTCGGCCTCTCGTTTCTCGTTTCTGCACGCTCGCATTGCACCTGCCACATGGAGCCTTGCAAGCTTAACGCAAGTGGCCGACTCTTCTCTGCTTACACGGGCCCAATACATACCTATAAGGGCTTGTCAAAATTATGGCACCTTTTTGGGTCCTTATTTTTTTACGGCACCTAATATATTTAAGAAACCCAAACAGTGAACATATTTTTGACGACCACCCACCAATGCATTAGGTAATACAGTCTGATACCCCAAACTGTAGCACGTTATTGATCGGGAACCTTATTTATTCATTTTCCTACTAGGATCCTAACCATAAAATGGGCTACCGCAAACAAAAACACTAAAACTTGTAGGGTCTTAAGTACCCGTAGGCCAGTTCTGCACACAAACGGCTTGTCCAATCGATCCAGAGAGGGACACTCTTTACACAGACGGAACAAAAGGCAGACGCCGCCAGACAAGCGAGCTGCCCTCGCATAGAGAGTGCATCACCTGAAGCTCCGGAAGACAAATCCCAATTTCTCAAACCATGAATTTCACAGGTGTTTCTGTAGGGGAAGCACCATGTCGCTGACCAGAAACCAGAACGAAATTATTCCTTCCTCAGATCAAGGAATTGAGCTTTCACGTTGCGAGTGTTTCATGTCTAACTTCCCGATCATCACAAACAAACTACCTCGACACACCAGTATGCCTAAGGAGCACGCCATAGATTCAGCGAAATTCCTGCTGTAAATAGCCCTACGCTAGTTTTGGGGTCGTCTGGGACAAGTTCGACGGCTGTTTTGTTTGTGAAGTATACCACAAGAACAGCGGATCTCTAAATCGTGTAGGAACCCCTTTAGTTCAAACAATCTGTGTGCAATTTTTCAAAGCAGATAAGTGTTCTGACAGAGGTCGGTGTCGTGGCAGATTTAGGGAATACCCGGAGCCACAGCGAAAGCCTCCCCGAGTTCCGATCCGGCACAGGGGGACATCTTCCTCACTAAAACGCTTGTTCAACCGACCTCATGAACGCGTGTGAGATGAAGGCGAGGGTTAATGTTCAGAGGAACCTGGCGTGCTCTGAGCTGCAACAGCTGTCCAGTTGATTGTTGAAGTCGTGGTGTGACCTGATAACAGCCCAGTGGAGAGCCTTCACCTGAGCAAAATCCGAGAACATGAGAACCGAGAAATTTCTTAGCACCTTCCCAATTTCTTCAACTCACACGATGGTTAAACAAAAACAGTTCAAAAAGGAAGAACAGCTGCCACGTTTACCTGGCTTGGCTGCTATGCACAGAAGCTGCCGCAACTCTCCACTTCGTTGGGATGTTGAGCCTCTAGCCACTGTCCCGTTCCCTGGCCGAAAACACAACCTCCTAAATCGAAACAATAAAAGCGAAACCCTAATTCATTACTGGCATAAGGATGACCGGGCTCCGATGTCCTGACCGCTTTGAGGATATTTGGTATAGTTGCGGCCTACTGGATGATGTACCCCAGGCCCGGATAGGTGATCTGACATTGCATGCAACCAAACCTTAAATGAGGTTTCACCAGTATTGTCAACCCAGAACGCCAATGAATAGGCAAGAAACAAAAAACACCACGACGACCAGCGAAGGAGGCCTGGGGATGCCACGTGCTGGATCATTGGTCCACCGTCGAGTTTCGACACGAAAACTAAACCCGTCCTGCTTCAGGAGCCCTTCTTGGACCCTAGACTTAGCCTTCACATAGTCCTGTTGAAACCCCTAGAGAATGTACGAATCTTCGGGCATATAGGGAAGACTTAGTGCGGGAAAGTGCCGGCAGCATTCCTTGCGCTTCGCAACCTCGGCGCCGGGAGCTCCACAGACCAAACTGCCCCTGCTCGCACGACTACGGCCACCAAGCTTTTGGTTATAGGTCGTCGGTTGCGATTATTCTGTGACTCGAAAACATTCCGCCATCTCGTGTATATGTACGAATCCATACTGCTACTACTACTACTACCACTACTACTACTACTGCTACTACTACTACTACTACTACTACTACTACTACTACTACTACTACTACTACTACTACTGCTCCTCTGCTGCTACGACGACGGCGACTAACTACTACTAGGACACACGCTCGTAGGAGGACTGTCAAACAGAACGCAATCTTCAGGTTTGGGCACCCTTACGGCGTTTTCGGGCTGCCACGCAAGGTTGAATGTGCAAACAACGGTGCGTTTAGGCTAATGAAGTGCCGAAAGTACTGGCACGGCCAACAAAATCGGGCATTAGGCAGCTGAGGGTGTCAGAAATCACGAAGTAATTTTTGAAGGCTTGGTATGTTTCTTTTGCTGCGGGCGTTTTACGCAAAAGGAAAGCACTACGTGCACAGTATGCTGTACAAAGAGGCAAAACACTGTAAATATCAGTGTTTTGGGCATGGCCAAAAGCATAGATAGTTGTGACAACTTGTTTTGCTCCACATCCTTGGGCAATATGTTGTCCATGGATGCTTGTGACACCGTGTCACGTGTCTTGCTCCGCATCTGTGCGCAGTATGTTGTACAAAGAGCAATCATGATGTAAATACCAGTGTTGTGGGCATGATCGCCAAACGCATTATTCTCCTCCCCCCCCCCCCCGCCCCCACCCCCCAAAACCCTACTGGTGACTACCACTGCTACTGCTACTGGTGCTGCTGCTGCTGCTGCTACTACTACTACTACTACTACCACGACGACGACGACTGTTGATTTTTCGTTCGTTGTTCAAAAGCTCATGAATGCAGACGATGAGAGCAGCTTACTTTCTTGGCGCCGTGAGCCGGTTTCAGCAAGCAGTTTGGAAGCTCTGCAAACATGTGAGCTCGTGGGCAATGGCATGCGGCAATGTAGGCCCATGTGATGTGAGGGTCCTCACTTCAACATGGGTCCAGGACAGAATCAACATCTACCTCTATCTGCAAACCCGACACCCTTTTACCTGTAGAACCCTGAGCCAGAGTTGTTGATGCTGGCCAGTGATGATATCAAGCGCCTCCCATGCAGTGGCTTTAACTGCAACTCATAGTCTCCACACGCCTGTGCTGGGGGTTCTTGAGTTACAGGGTTTACGGTTTATGGGAGTTTAGGGCTTTGGGGGTTTAGGCGATTAGGGCAGCTTACAGCTTTGATTCGACTTCTAGAAACTGCAACTCATCGTCTCCATGCGCACACGACTTAGAGGATCCTTCGCACATGGGCGCCTAAACCCTAAATCCTAACCTCCTATATGAACGCAAAGGCATGCAATGTAGACAGATCGGGCTCCTTCCAGCCCTAAGTTCAGAACTGGGATCCCTGTATACCTGGGGTTTAGGGTTTTTAGGGTTGAGGGATGTTTAGGGCTTAGGGGTTAGGGTTGGGAGCCATAAGTTTAGAGTTTAGTTCACACAGCAAGGAATGCTGATGTAGAGCCTCTTATGTCAGGACCTTCAGCCCGAGCTCTTGTAACCATGATGGGGCACCACTAACTGATTCATATATCAGCCCAAATTTTCGAAAGAGGTCGAGGTATCGCCAAACTCTGAGACCCTCAAACCCAAAAGCCCTGAGCCCTCAAAGCCTCCAACTCCCAAACCCCACAACGCCGCAGCTGTGTTAAACAAACTGTAAAGAAACACGAATGCTATGAAACCCTGCAAACACCCGGCAGAAACCGTGAATCCAGAGCATCCCCCCGTGTGAGCCCTGTGGCTCGACATCGCAGATCGTGAATCTCAATCCCTACCCTATTTCAAGCCTGGATTGTAAACCAAAGCCTATAAGCTGCAGTTTTTCCCGTCTCCTAAACTAAACCCTAGCCCCCATATCCTGAACTGGCTCTCATGCCTAAGCCCTATATTATCGGAATCTCCAAATAAGCACCCTGAGCACGAAACCGGTGTGCCTTTGACCTGGGATGGCTTCACCTGGCACTTGTCTTGACACAGGCTCGTCCAGCCATGACTCATATCTTACGCTCTCGCTCTCGCTCTCTCTCTCCCTCTCTCTCTCCCTCTCTTCCCCTTTTTGTTTTTGTTCTCTCTCACTCTCTCTCGCTCTCTCTATCTCTCTCTCTCTCTCTCTCTCGCTTTCTCTCTCTCTCTCTCTCTCTCTTTCTCCGTCTTCGGTGTCGGGAGTCGGGATTATGGGCATTAGGGTTTGACTTTTGAGTTTAGTGTTTGCCCTAAACCCAAAGCCCAAAGCCCTGCCAAAAAATCGACTTTCCTGACTTCGGCTGAGACACTGGGAGTCTAAACTCAAACTCCCTCCTTCCGTCAAGATACCCGAAGCCGTTTCTCCCCTGAAGCCCCTAAAAACCCTAAACCTTAGCCCTGAAGCCCCGAAAGCCCCTTCCCAATATCCCGGCGGCCTTCTGGCGACTGGGATGGCCGAGGTGGCAGAAGTCACAGAGAAAGGACTTTCCTCGGCTGGTTTAGGGTTATAGCAGGTAGGATTAGAGGGACGCTTGGGGGCAAAGACTGGCAACCACCGAATCAAGGCTGAAGCCCTGAGTTCTGGGAGAGCCATGAATAAAGGGAACTCCAGAAAGTTGGAATATGGTTTCAGGGTAGGATACCTTATAATTCACCGTAAAGGGTTTAGGATAATCATATTCCAACTTTCTGGCTTTTACTTTAGGGTTAAGAAGGGTCCCTTTCACAGGAAGTTACGCTGTGGGGGTCCATGCTTTTCGCGTAGACTGGTTACATATCTTTCTAAGGATCACATACTTTCATAACAAGTCATGTCAATGTTTGACTCCATTGTTAAACTATTGAAGCACATAAGTTGTGTAGTAGCAGAAGCTAGGTCGCGCATGACGATAAAGAATGTCCAGCCGCGCTTGTTAATATTCATGTGTTTATAAACTGCTATGCCTTTGCCGAAGTGATAGCAGCAGGGATGGGTGGGGGGGGGCGGGGGGCAAAGAAAATCAGGCGGGGGCTCTCCAGGCTTTCGGTGCTAAGGGTCGTTTAAGGGTGTAGGGCTTGGATTACGGGTTTGCGGCTTGGAGCGAAGGCCTGGACGGATACAACCTGAATTTATTTTGGGGTTTAGGAAAAACCCCCCGAACCCTGAAGAACAAGACCGTGGAAGCCTGCGCCATCACGAAAACAGCACCCGTCTGAAGGTTAAAACAAGAGTCATAGCAAACAATAATGAAGAGCAAGAAAAACTTTAACCCCAAATAGCCTACCTTTTTAAGGGTCCTTATTATGATTTCCCTATGTAAGTCCTTAAAAAGGTAAGTTATTCCGGGTTAAGGAACACCAGTAAACTTCCCGGAGCCCCAGCCTCGCCAGCCGGTCTCAACTTAAGCTTCTCCCAGGCTAAACCCCCAGGACCCTCCTTGTACCCTCAAATAGGGGTATATGGTCCCAAATAAGGGGCATTTAGGGTCTAATGGAGGGTAGATGGAGGTCTGACCCTGAACCTGAACCCTTGATTAACCCCAGACCCTAAACCCGAAACCCCAAGAATCACGCGGGGAGGATGGGGACAAGGATTCGAAATCCTGCAAACTGCAGCCAGCCCTGATTCAAGAAGGGTGTTCGGTTTCGGTCTCTGCGGTTTCGGGTTTAGGGCATATAAGGTTGAGGCTTGAGGGTTTACGGTTCAGGGATGGGCGCTTAAACTAGAGTTTAGGGCCTAGAGAGTCGCCAATGCGAGCTGTCGAATCCGTGCAAGCCTCGAGCGAGCCTAAGATTTAGGGTCTCAATTTGGATCTCCTTTGCGGCACAGCCTCTGCAACGCCCAGGGCGCTGTTCAAACATACCTCAGCGAGATGCTCCGTCTGAATTTGTTCACGTACACGAAACAAAGCATAGGCAGACCCTAATTAAACCCAAAACCCCCAAACGCTGCGCCGTCCTGATGAGACACGTGCTTGCAGCCACTGTTCGGTACAGCGTAGGCTAGGCCTCAATTTCCACGACAACCCTATCAGTGGCTCCCTCTCTACAGTATCTATGTATAAGTATGCGCCTGTGTTTGGTGCTTCCCCGATCAAATTCAGAAATGCTTTTGTCGTCAATTCTCCGCATGTCTCCGGTCGACCAAAGATATTTACACATACTCATGGGATTGCTGAACGGAACAATGGCAGCCCTTTGGCTGTCGCGTAGGCTGGAGGGTCGAGGTCAGCGGAGCAATCAGGAAAGCTGCTGCATGAATCACGAGAAGCCTGCTCCTGTTTTGCTGGCGGCTGCCGTATCGGAGCCGCATCTTCTACCACTTCCGTGCCGTGTTTGTCTCTTTATTCGAACTTTCGTTCAGAGTCCTTCAACTTTATTCAACAGGAGTTGAGCTTGTAGACAGTATGCAATGCATCTTCTATGTCGTAATAGGTTCTCACCCGAAACAGCCTAGGGCAGCTTGTGTTCATCAGGGCACATTCTCCAAACCAGCAATCTACTTATGTAAGCCCCTACATCGCGCACCTCGGAAATGCAAGCATACAGTGCTGAAAGCGTAGGCAGAAAATCGAAACACACTAGCTTTGGAATGCCCTAAACGGCCCGATACCCTCTCTCACTTCTGTGGAGCCGCGGAGGTCCTCCAGCCCTGAACCATCAATCCTAAACTGTAAATGAAACCCAAGCCCAGTTCTCAAACCTTACGGCTCCGGGTTTAGAGCTTGAGGGGCAGGAGTTTCAGCAAAAATGATGGACCCAGGCATTCATCTCAGATACTACGGAAACGGGACACCAATATCCGAGCCCTATAAGCTACACTGAACTTAGAACCCTAGCAAATATTATACTTTTAGCTGTTTCTTAGGGATGAAAAAAACAAAATTTGAAAAGTATTTCTAAGCACCCCTAAGTAAGAACCACGCCAAACCCGGTGGAACAGAGGGGATCAGGTCCCGGCAAGGCCGGCACTTCTGCAGTGGCTGCCTGCTCCAGGATCATGAGGCCACGGCTTAGGGTTTACCCAGAGGCCCCAAAGTAGTTCCTTTTTGGGATTACTTTATAGGATTCTATATATGAACCCCAAAAAGGAACTACTTTGGGGCCTATGGGTAGGGTATGGGGTTCAGGGAGGGTTTGGGGAAGTTCAGTGGCGCTGTTTGGGGTTGAGGTCTCCGCTGCCAAGGTTTCTAAGGTTTAGGGCTTCTACCCTAAGGCCCCAAACTAGTTCCTTTTGGGGGTTCGTATATAGAATCCTATAAGGCGATCCCAGAAAAAGGACCTACTTTGGGGCCTATGGGTAGGCTCAGGATTGATTTACGGAGCCGATGTTTTTTCCATTTGAATGTGAGTTCTGTTCAAAACCGGCCTACCTGGCTAAGAAACTCAACATTGCGGACCTTCCATTATCCCTTAAGGAAAATACCTTAAACCATATTGAGGATCTAATATAGTTTGAGATATAATCCTGATAATCCTGAAGTAAGGGATAGTGGAAGGTCTGGGAACCCTAGAGCACTAAGGCCCACCGGCACCTTAAAAGGTGACCCCCCAAGATAACACCCTCTTCAACGGGGTGGAGGGCCGTAAACCCTAGACGCTAATGTACGGGTCGGAACAATTAGTACGAGTATTCTGACGCATATAATGTAATTATAACGGATTCCCAAACCCTATGTTGATACCCCTATACTCACCCGGGACATTGCAATGTCAGTGTTGAGGTGGAGCCAAAGATTTGCGACCGTTTTCAAGCTCCGGGCTTGAGATGCGTTGCTTGGGATTGGGCGTTGATCTTTGGCGTTTAGGTATTAGGGTTCAGGTGTAGCGTGCTAGTTAGGGTTCGCGGAACTCAGATGGCAAGCCCTGCATAATCTGATCTAAACTCGGGCTGGAGCACCATGAAAACTATAGGGAGGAGCGAAGCTGGCACCGAATACACGAATAGTCGAGTGCCGGCTTGGGAGATTGAGGGTCAGAGGAATCAGGGTTTACCTTAACCTACCAAAAACCTACTTTTTTGTAGGGTCCCTATAAATCCCATATTAGGGTTTATAATAAGAACCTACAAAAAAGTAGGGTTTGGTAGTTTAAGGTAGAGTTTATAGAGCTTAAGTTGGGTCATGCTTGTGGTGCAGGGGTTTGCGTTGATCGGCTCACGATGTCGTAATTCCGGCTTGTGTTTCGGTGTCAACGTAGTCTTCATCAGAGTGTGCCCTAAACCCTAAACCCTGAACCCTGAACCCTAAACCCTAAACCCTGAACCCTAAACCCTAAACCTGCGGGGTTTGCTCCCAAATGGTGCGAATCCGAGGCCTCCCCTGGGATACAGCAGTAAGTTGACCCCTAAACCGTAATCCCTAAACCCTAAAAACCCTAAACCCTAAAACCCTCAAAAATAAAAAAAACTAAACCCCGAGACCGTAAACCCTAAACCTAACCCAAACCGCTGTACGCCGGAATAAACCTTAATACCAAACCCCAAGCTCCCAAGCCTGCAAATACCTTCCGATGCAAACCCGAAGCCCCAATCCTTGACAGTTACTACAGTAAACGGCGGCTCATTAGGGGTTTGGGGGTTTGGGGGTTTAGGGGTTTAGGGGTTTAGGGTTTAGGGCTTTAGGGGTTTGGGGGTTAAGGTTTAGGGTAAACCCCATAAAGTTGGAAACCGGACTAAGGCCAAATAGTGCTGGGATTCCTTATACATTACTCTTCAGGATTGAGGCTATTTGGTTTCCAACTTTTTGGCTTCAACTGTAGGGCTTCGGGGTTATTATAGGGTTTAGGGTTTAGGGTTTAGGTTTTAGGGCTTAGGCTTTGGGGTTCAGTGCAAGCGCTCCTTGTCATCAGATGCGTGATTGAGCCGAACGACAGCCTGATCAGCATGCTGTCCGGTGCTTTGGGGTCATAGCAGGCGTTTGCCCAGAGGCTCCAAAGTAGTTCCTTTTTGGGATTACCTTATAGGATTCTACATATGAACCCCAAAAAGGAACCACTATGGAGCCCTAGGGTAAGGCTTAGGGTTTAGGGGTTTAGGGTGTTAGGGTTGTGTTGCGTGTCTGCATGTGTGTGTGTGTGTGTGTGTGTGTGCGTGCAATTGCTCAAATATCGGCGATATAGAATATGGAGGTGCGGAGCACAACGTGCCCTAGACGCCCAGATTTCCACGCAAGAAGATAAAGGAACCAAGCACCCTTAACCCGACACCCCGAAGCTTACTGGGCTTATCAGTCTCTGTCCTCTGCAAGCAAAGGTGCATCGCTTAGGATTCCACGGTATGGGGTTTGCAAGCCTAGCCCACATGCGTCAGAGTTTAGGTTTTGAGGGCTGTGTTGGTTCGCGAACCGCTGACTTGAAGTGACGGGTTTAGGGTTTGCAGGGGTTTAGGGTTGTGCGTAGCGAAGACTGGAGTCTAGAGGAACTTGCGTGCGTGTGTGCGACATGGACGCCACGAGCATGAGATTTGCTTTCCTGCCTCGGGCATGGCAGCTCTGAGGGTTTAGGATTTGTTGGAAGCGATTAGCACTGCATCCCTGGGCGATTTAGGTTTTCAGTGCAGCTTTGACGGTGTCGAACCCTCAGGGTGGAAGTACTCATACTGCATGTAGTTTAGGGCCTGAGTATCGATCCCTTGGGCATATACCTCAACCCCAAATTCAAAAGGTATGAACACGAAACCACGATCCTGGAACCAGAACTTCAACCTGCCTGAACCCTAAAGCCTAGAATGAGTAGTAAGCTACGTTATTCGAGAATATATAAGTATACGACCTAAACCCCTTTACACCCTGCGAAGCCGCATGAGGCTGTACAAATCCTGGTTAAACGCCTTGCCAAAGAAAATGCCCGAACGCCAACATCCGTGGAATTCGCCTTGAGCCCCAAACTCCTAAACCCCTAGGCCACTATACCCTACACCACTATACCCTAAAGCACTATACCCTAAACCCCTAAACCCTAAACCCCCAAACATCTGAGGACCAGGCGGTGCTGATTGACGAGCCGCCTTCAGTCGCAACGCATCGCTGACAGCAAGGCCTGGATGCTTTTAAAGTAGGGGCCTTAACAATTATAGAATAAGGTTTGGGGGTATATTAATTATACGTAAGTGTAGTAAGGAACATATTCATTATACTAATTCTTAACTGTAATTAAGAAGGAAACCCCACAAATAGTATTAGTAACTGTTCAAGCCCTTATATTGGGGGCTTTCGGGGTCTTTGAAGAGCTCTGTTGGAGGGCTTTCATGGTGTTGCCGCAGGGGTTCCGAAACAGGTTCTTATACGGGCGGCGGAGGGGGGGAAGCAGACCCACCCCCGGACCACACCACACCACAGGGAAGGGGCGAAGCAACCCACCACCACACCACAGGGAGAGGGGTGGGGAGGAGGAACCATTGGAGCGGGTGGGGGGGGGGGGGGGGGGGGGGGGGGGGGAAGGAAGAACCGCGATCGTGCATCTATGTGTGTGTGTGTGTGTGGGAGGAGAAGAATAAGCCCGAAAAGTGAGGTTTGAAACCGAACATGAACCCTAACTACTCGGCTCCATACTTAAGCACCCACCAACTAGGGACCCCGATGTCTCAGAAACCTTGCAAGACGTTATATAGTGACCCTTCTATAGAAGCCTTTATACACATCGCAGGATCCTCTAACCCCTCCAGTATTAAAAAGACCAAGAAGCGAGGCTTCCCAAGACTCAATATAAGCCCTGCCGGTAGTCTCCATTGCAGTTCCGTTTGGGGCTGCCGTGGGAACCTAAAAAAAGTGGCTAGAACAAGGAACTTCAATTGAGACAATAGGTCAGCCCTCAACCCAAATGGGAGTTTCCGAAAACTAGGGGTACCGTACTTTAGGGGTACCGTACTTTAGGGTCCTTATAATATGGATCCTATTATTTAGGGTGCTATACTAGGGTCCCCTATTTTCGGAAACTCCCAAATGGCCCATCCGGGCTTCCAGGCATTTCTGATGGCTCTTGATGGGCGCTGCCGGCTGCCCGGGACCTTTTCTGTTTCAGACGTTCCGGCTTCGCTAAGATGCCCTAGAAGGCCTTATAGGGTTTAGCTCCTCAAGGTCTCATAGGTTTTCATACGCTTTCATAGAGGTTTCGCCGGGTTTAGGATATGTATATATATATATATATATATATTGGGTTCAGGGGCCTGGGCTAGGGACTAGGGTAGAGGAGTTGGATGTAGGAGAAAGGGTTCGGAGTTATCGGGTTTCGGTTTAGGGGCTGTTGACCAGCCCAATCTGAATCTGGGATTCCCAAAGACACAAGCAAAGCGCCAAGCCAAGACTCCATCACCCCCTAAGCCACAGGAATTCCGAAGAGCCAGGCCACTACTAAAATACACACACACACACACAGACACAGACACGGACACACGCACACAAACACACGCGCACACAAACAAGCACACACACACACACACACAAACAAAAACAAAAACATGAAAGTTAAAGCCCCTACTTAACATCCCAAAGCCCTAGACCCTGGACCCCAAAACCCTAAAGCCTTAAACCCTGAACCCTAAAGCCCTAACACCTAAGCCCGAAAGCCTATATCCGAAGCCTAAACCCTAAACCGTAAACCAAAAAAATCCAAAAGCCGTAAACAGCCCCTAAACGCGAAACCCCAAAGCCCTAAACCCTCAAGCCCTAAACTTAAACCCAAACCCAACCCCCAAAGCCTGAAACCCTAAAGCCTTAATCAAACGGGAAAAGGAGGGACCCGTCATGGGGACCCCTACCCTATAATGGGCTATACAATGGGTATATAATCGCTATATTAAGGGTATATACCTAAGGGTCCTTATTAAGGGTCACCCCTTTTACCCTTGGACTTAAACCCGAAAGCCGCGCCCAAGGCCAAGCCCCGGACCAGCGGGAATTCTCAAGGCTGAAAGCATCGATCCGTGCGCAGCCATCCTCGGAAGCGAATCGGGTTTAGGGTCTTCGGGTTAAGTGTCGAGGGCTTATTTTTGGGATTACGGTTTAGGGTCTTAGGTTTTAGGGCTAATTAATTATGGGGTTTAGGGTTTAGGGTTTAAGGTTTAGGGCTTAAGGGTCTTAGGGTTCAGGGCTAACTACGGGGTTTTTTGGTTTAAGGGTTGAGGGTTCAGGGCTATTTATGGGGTTTTGGGTTTAGGGTCTTAGGGTCTGGGGCTATGGAGTTTAGGTTTTAGGGTCTTCGGGTGTAGGGTTTGGGGTTTAGGGCCTTAGGCTTTAGGGTTTGGGGGAAGCCCTTATGGCCCTTAATAAGAACGTATTTGGTCTAGGTGGGTCCAGGGTTTAAGTGTCCGTTTCGGGGCCTTCATGATTAGAAGAGGGGTCGTTCCTTTCTCGTTTCCAAGGTCTAGAAGGTTTCTAAAGGGGTCTAGATACAGGCCTTAAGCCTTAACAATTAGATTCGCTGGTGTTCTGGAAGGGTTTCAAAGGGGTTTTCATATCAAATTTCAATAACGGGCCTGAATAACGAGATTAGGATTTGGCGGGGCACGTGTGGGATTCTTGCTGGTCAATTGGTTGTTCAGACCTCCACACTAGGTGGGAGGCCTCAAAAGGTGGGATGAAGGATCCCTCACATGAGGACTCTTATTTGGGGATTGCCCCACCGACTAGGAGCCTTTCGATCCAGTATAGAAACCACGACGGCAAAGCCCGGCGTCTCTGGCTTTCAGTTTCCCTCGGAAGACCATGACCCTCTCTTCTCAAGCGGCTCTATATTGGGATCCCTAAACTCCATATCAACGCTGAATCCTACACCCAACAGTTTAGGGTTTGAGAAACCACTTGAATCCCCTGTACGCACAAATCCAGATTTCTTCAGCCAGTCATCTACCCGTTGCTGAGTTTAGACTCCGAAAAAATTCAGTCCTAAGGCGGATAATACTGCCCCAAGAAGAGTAAAGTATACTCGTCCAGCTGCTAAGTATATCCCTCAGAAGCCAGGACACTTCGTTGGTCCGACGATAATATCCAGCTCCACCCCATCCTGCACCGAAAATGGTTTCGAGTTTAGGACGCCGGGTTTCATAATGTTTCGGGTGCAGAGTCTGGGCTTTGGGGATCACTACACAAGTCGTGCTTTTACATCTTTGACAACACATAACTTGTCTGGCAATCCAGGACAACCCCGAGCCCGAATCCGCTGTGGCCCTAAATCCGGACCCTCAAACCCGAAACCCTACATCCTAAATCTTAAGCCCTAATTTTCCCTATTACACCCTTGTGGATCCCTCATCCCCGTTGAGAAAGCACTTAACCTCGCAGCCCTAAACCCCATTCCATGAAGCCGAAGGGCCAACGACTTGCGGCCGTTGTTTTGGCGATGACGATAGGCATACGAAAACATATACATACACGTATACATATACGTATACACATACATATACATCTACGTATACAGATACAGATACAGATGCATACACACATACGTACACATGTACATACACATACACGCACACACATATACATATGTAATTACATATATATATATATATATATATACACACATGAACATATACACACATCACATGTACATATACTCTTATGTACATATAAACATACATACATATAAACATATGCACATATATACATATATACATATATACAAATACATACATGTATACATATATCTATATATATATATGCATAATGTATAGGGCCTCTGGCTGAATATGTTCTACAACTTATTCCGAACTCTAGAACTACAGTGAATCCCAAAGCCCACACCTGCAACCTATAGAGTTGTTGGAGGGTTTACGTATGCCTCTGTAGATATGTCAATGCTGGCCTCTTCGTCGCTGCTGTCTGCATCCACACAAAAACCTGCATGAAGGCAGTATCAGGATTTGATGCTGCGCCTCGAAGGGCAGTACCAGGTTTCATAATGGTCTAAGGGAACCCTATCTGCAACAACGGCTCGGTAAAGGCCAGTATAGGGGCCGTACGGGTAGCTGGGCTATGGCGTAAGGTAGTTGGGGACCTCTCAGACTCTCGGTAGGACCTCTGAAATTTATCGGTTTGGGCTCATCTGAGTTTAGACGCCGACTGTGGGCTCCAAGCTTGATGGGCGGGCATAACAATTTCAAGTGGGCTTTGGGGTGCAGTATAGTAAGATGATGTTGATGTGGGGACAGAAACGAGGATAGAACTACCAAATGTTCGACCCCTAAATTAGGATGTTTAGCCGTTGAGCTCATGTTGAGCCATGGGCCAGAGCACAAAGTCGGAGTCGGACAAGTGCCTAAAGATCCATTGTTAAGATGTTCTCACGATGCCATGCCAAGGAGTCAAGGAATATCTCGGATCCTCATCGCAAAAGACTGCTACAGTTGGAGATGTGCTCGGCTTCTGCAACGGGGTTTGGCTGTCCAGGTAAGCTCGGAACTCTGAACAACCGATTCGGAAGTCATGTGGCAGAGGGGTCTGATGGTGTACTGTCACTATGGGTCAACGTAATTCAAGAATAACCCTAAACCCTAAACCCTAAACCCTAGACCCCCAACCCTAAACCCTAAACACTTTGGCCTTACGGGGTTCTGAGGCATATCAGAGGGTGCGCAACAAACAAAAACCTCGCCTCGAACACGAATCAAAAAAGCGACACCGAAGCTCTGAAGAAAGACGCAGTTGATAGTTATGTCACCCAGCATGCTCATGCCTAGAAACTTCACCTGACTCCAATATCGAGGTCTTCAACGAAGAGGGTTTTAAGTTTTGGGGTGAGTGGAAGGTATAATTGATTAACTAGTCATGCAGAGGGACGCGTCCGCGGATACCTTTTCTTCTTTAATTCTGCAGACCTCCTTCTTACACCTAAACCCTCAAGACGAAACCCTAAACCCCGAACCATAAACCTGAACCCTAAACAAGAACCTGAAACCTAATCCCTAAACACCCTAAACCCAAAACCCTAGTTGAACCCTATACCCTCAAGGTGAAACCCTTTGAGCTGCCCGGCTTGGACGCACAGAGCTGGCATTGCTGGGGTGTGTCCTTTGCTGCGGTACATGGAACATAATATATATATATATATACACACACACATAAGAGTATACACATGTATACATGTAGATATATCCATATACATAGAGAGGGATAGAGTGTTTAAGGTTCAGGGTTCAAACGTCCGATTTGAGGCTTGGATTTGGGGTTGTCACAGTCTGCGATTGTACTGCAGGGGCCGTAATAATTGGAACACGGTTTTGGGGCCCATTATACTATGACTATAATGGTAAGGAGCCCTCAAAATAGTATAGGTAGTTACTTGGGCGCCTATTCTACGGCCTCAGGGGTGAAAGTCATGCTTTGCAGGCTTCGAGAGGCGATCGATTGCTTCGGTTTGGGATGTGCATCGGGACCACTTTTGGTGAAACCCCATGCGGGTGGTTGTCCCTTTTGCGTACCCTAAATAGTAGGTGCCGTATTATACTAAGGACCCCAAAAGGACCGCTGCCCCTTTTCGGTACCCTAAATATTAAGCGCCATATCTTTGCAAGGAGCCAAAAATGGACCCTAATATTGAGAACCACCCATATGGTTTGTAAGGTTTAGGGTTTGGTGCACCTGACAAGTAGCTCGAGTTCAGAACATGTTCTTCTGATTCTATGACATTGTCTGACGCCCTCTGCATAGCCGTAAACCCACGGCCGTGCCCCTACATCCCACAGACCCTCCACCATAAACCCCTTAAGATAAGATAAGCTTAGATTAGATGTACCCGGTTAACTGACCTCTTGGATGAGAGTAACAACAGCTGGTTCATGCTCAACAGCAAGCATCGAAGCTTACGTTCGCCCGAAATCCCGAGATCTTCTTCAACAAACGTCGGACCATTGTGCTTCGTTTATTGGTTAATGATGGCAGGAATGGGTAATGGTAGCCCAGCACAGATACTCGCTGATGCCTGACCTCTTGGGATCAGGATGAACGAAGCTGCAAAAAACCCTAAGCCCCAAACCAAAGCCTAAACCATGTCTCCACCACAAGACGCCTAGTTTCTCAATCTCGGGACTGCAAGGCCTTTAAACCAACCAACACGAATGAGGAAGCGACCACTTTATCTTAAGCTGCATAGCGTGGAAGCTTACTAGCCCAAGACCCTATACGGCCAAACTAAAACCTTTAGACAGCGAAAACATATGGTGCTTGGTACCTGTACCCCGTTAACTGTCCATATCATTTTCGTGCGGTTGGCCGTTTAGCTGCTGAGTGGGAACTTCAAATGCCTGTGAACATGAAACTTATAGAACTCTTCTGAAACGCTACGAGGACCCTTTTATATACCATCTTAGGGACGCCTGAAACATAACCACAAGAACTCAAATTCTCTAAACCCATTCAAGGGACCCTTAAAGCAACCCTTATGGGGAGGAAGTGCGCTGGGGCCCAGTCCAAGAGCCCACGGACAACTCGGCCTGAAGCGTTCCAATGAAACGAGCCAGTGCTCCGCAGGGAGTCATAAGCATTTCTCGAGGTTTAGGTTTTAAGAACTTAACACAAATTTACTAAATTAGGGTGTTGATTTGTGTGTTTTATGTGGAGGTTGTTGAGCTTTCGCCTGGTGTTTATGATGTTTCCACAAACCATGCCACCGGCCCTAGATCTCTAAATGTTACCCGTTACATCTGCGCCAAAATACGGGCACAAGATCAACAGTCAGCCGATGAAGATTGACATCCACTCTAGCTAAACCCCAAGCCCCGAAACCCTAAACCCCCAAAAAAACCCTGCCCTAAACCCTACATAGACCCCAAACTTTCCCTAAATCCTGAAGCCCCTAAGCACTAAACTCCCCAATAAAACCCACCAGCCACACCTCTGTGATCGGACCCAGAGACGTGGACTTCACTGAGCTGGCCCTCAGCAAGTGGTCGCGGAACCCGGTTTAGGGTTCAGGGTTAAGGGTTTAGCGTAGCAGTTTCAACATGGGTTTGTGAAATAAACCTGCAACATTACAGGGGGCGTTGATACTCAGAAGAGTGTTCCTCAAAAAAAGGGATCTATAAGCGATTCTATGATCACCGTTACTATAATTACGTGCTACAGGTTTTTGGTTCATATTTTTCCACATTTAGATTTGTATGAAATGGTATGAGTTTAGGAACGCTAGGGAATAATAGACTGAGTTGAAGGGCCTGCGGGCTCTGAGGGTTCGTTCGGCAATAAAGCCTTAATGATTAGAATAGGGATTTGGGGCCCACTATACTATAAATAGGAAGATACCCCCACCCCACCCCTCCCCAAAAAAAAACAAGGTATTTGTAAAAAAATTGGGCGCTATACATTAAGCGTATGCCTTCTGCTTTTTGGACACGGTGGCCTTGTACGAACCTCCTCAGTTCCTGCAGGTTCTTGATCAGAGTTAGTCGGGCTTCTTGTTCTAGACCTCAGAGTAACCTAGGAATAAAAAGGGTGCCCTTTTTGGTTTAAAGGGGTTTATAAGGGAACCTGAACCCTAAAAGAGGGAATAAGGGCCTACTCTCGGTCCTAGTGTTAGTTATTTGAGCAAAACTTTCTTCTGCGTGTCCCTGTGAAGGAACTCTCCTACATCAAAACACTTTGTCGGAAAACCAGCTTGTAAGCCGCACCCTGCAGCAGCGCAACCACAAAACAAAGGCAGGGCTACTTCAGACTAGCAGACCCTAGGGCTTATGGTGTAGGGCCATGGGGTTTAGGGTTTGGCTGCAGCCTTTGAACCCTAAAACTCCTTTTGCAACAGATGTCCAGGCCTGGGCAGTCAGTGGCCCAAGCCCATATTCAAAAGTTCCACGATATTGACCCTGCGAAATCCCAAACCCTAAACCGCATTGCGTTCAACGAATCTTGGAATTTGCTGCTTAGGGACTCTTTTCGTCAGTTTGCCATACTAGGATACCCAGTGACCTGAGACTAAAAAGGCCTCTCTTTTTGGTATTGGGTAACTTTATAAGGAACCTAGGACTACAAAAAGGGAATAAGGGTACTACTGGGCATCCTAGCATATTGTCTGTCCCAGCTTCTCGTCTAAATATGTGACGAAACCGGAAGTTTGTTCAGGATTTCTCGCCGACTCACGAAGATCCTCATGCTGAGTAACCTTTACGCAAGAGCATTCGGCTCCTCTTTGTTCTGGGAGCTTAAGGGTGCTGTACCGCAAGGTTCCCAAAACACAGCAGTGGAACCGCGACACCCTTATACCCAAGACTCGCTAACCTCAAAGATAACTCTTTTCATGTAGAATAATCTGGTTGCGGTCTATAGGTGATTTGATTTGGGGCTGCACGAATTCGGGGTTCAAGATTTAGCCTGGATGAAAGTTAAGGCTAATGCACCAGGCCCTACCTTAAACCCTTCAACCTAAATCCTACCCACTACCCCAAATACTGCTCGAAACTCCAAATCCTAAACCAACCCTGAAAACTACTGAACCCTATCCCAACACTAAGTGCCCAACGAGCTTTCCGGACTCGCGAAACGTTGCGGACGAAACTTTGAAACCATCTCTTCCTTCATTTGCCTGGCGCACAGTGACATGTTGTGGGGGCCTTGAAATTTGGACTAAAGTTTAGGCTTTGAGATTTATGTCCGACTCACAAGACGAACACCCAAAAACTCACAAATCCCAGGCCCTAAATTTGGAAGCCTCATAAGGTGGGGCGAGCCTGGGTGGGGCGAAAGCCCCTGGTACCAGCTAAATAAAGGTATGACAACAGAACGGAATTTGCAATGATGGCGGCCAGTCCGCTGCCCGTATACGGCATGTATGTGCGGTCCATCTACATTAGCAAACACTTCGAGGACTGCACCAGCAACTCTTGTCCAGAGGATCGGGCGCGGTCTAACCAGTCATATGTTGCTGTCACCTTGTCTTGAAACTGTCTCCTGTAGCACATGTGTCCGAGAGGTTGCATTTGCACGTGCTCACCGACATGACCCCAGACCGTGTAGATACATACCGCTGTGGCGCACCGGATTGCCGATACATACGGGCAAGTCAATGTATCCAAAACCAGGAAAATAAATACATGTATCCAAAACCCACGATTTGGATACATATCGTTCCGAAGCCATACAGGAGAAAGAACACGATTTGTATCCGCTGTTCAGGGCGCTTCTGACGTGTCTTGGAGCACTAGCCTGACGCTTTGATTTGCCTCGCTGCACTGCAAGGCGTGTGCGATTGTCTTGCAGCCCTGCAAGACGAATCTGCATGCTTCACAACGAGACCCTGTTCTCAAGCACACATTTTTGACTCAAGCATTGCAGTGTGTTTTCCTTTGCGGTTCACTGCTGCTGACACAATCTGTGGTGTTGCTGCATGCTGCCCGGAAAGACGCGGTTCTGCTCGCTGGTGTGTATCCTTGAGGAGGACGTGCCCACATCTAGGCACAAAGGAATCCGGCAATTTCCATGCAAAACGCTTCGAAAGAAGAACAGCAACACACTCAGAATACGCAAATGTTCGAAATTAGTCCAGATGGGCAAATCCCACCCAGGCTCCCGGTACCTATTGATCTTTCCGATAAATGAGGTACACCCAAGGCATCCCGTGAAGATGCGCGCACAAATCGCCACATTCTCGGCATGGTGAAAAGGCACGGGCATAGTGCCAAGGTGTAAGATTAGGGCTTAGGATAAGGTCTGAGGTGTAGGATTCGGGTCGAGAAGAACTTTATTTGCTATAGTCGCTGTGGTGGAGTTCTTGCTGCCATCACTAACCCGCTGGCATGTTATGTGCTTTGAGCTTCGGCATCACTACCACCCACGATTCCACAAGACAAGTTGCCTCCGCTGCTGCTGGCAGGGCTGGTGGCGCTTAAGTCTTGCGCGCTGTTATGTCCGGAATATGACTGCAGCAATGTGGCTACATGTATCGGCAAACTTGTGCCGGAAGCTTGAAACATACCGATGCTGCGAAGTTCCAAATCGACTCCATGCACTGAAGCACTTTGATTTTTAGGGTCCCCTGAAGTCTAAGCCCTGAACCCTTAATTCTAAGCCTCAAACCCTAAACCTTGAAAGCGTGCAAACATGCACCAACGACCTTGGGTGATCTACTTTCGCGGCTCTGGATGAGGACTGCTGATGCACATGGGCAGCCTTCTACTGGGAGGTCCTTCTTATAAAAAGGACACTCGAAAGGACACTGATTTGGAGAACTACCCACGTCCAGGGTGATCCTTGTACTATGGATGTCATTATTTATGGAGTCTCAAGGCCCCTTAGACTCCGTCCGGCCTCCAAACAGCCCAGCACTCCTCATCCTCCAGATAAGGCCTGGCATGGCGACGGTTTCGGGATTGGAATTGAGGGGATAAGGTCTAGAGTCTAGGTGCAGGGTTTACTCAGGGTTTAGGGTGTAGTGCTTGGTGTTGAGGGCTGTGGGTAAATGATCAAAATCCCCTGTGCATCTTGCAAGGGCGAGAAGTATTCGAATCCTTTTACAAGGCAGCCACTCTGCATGCCCACGAAGGGGGCAAGGCCACCGACAAAGCTTTGGGTTTAGGGCTTAATTTTCGGGTTTGGTTTAAGACAACATCCGCGGAAGAGACGTTTGCTTTTGGGATGCAGCGCATTAATTACGAATGACAATGAACGTAAACAACCACTGGACTGATCTGTAAGGCTTCCTGCTTGCTAGGAAGCTTCAGGCTGAACAGACTCAAAGACAAAGCGGACGACCATGCAACAGAATTCCCATCAACGAGAAGCCCCAAGTAATCCTGTAAACTCCGGAAAAGAGGAACTCCAATGACAACCCGCAATGCTACCCCTGTACTATACCCCCTTGAAGCACACGCCCTTAACGATCCTCTCACCTAGGCTCCATCTCCACGACGTGGTCCCAAACTCCTGAAAAGCGGTTTGCCAGTTCTTGCTACCTCCAAGACAAACTCAAAAGCTGCATGGCGAATCTTCTGCAACAGGGCGCTGTCATCTATCCCTAAACCCTAAACCCTAAACCCCTAAACCCTAAACCCTTTCCGGGTCTCCGTGACTGGTCGTGCTCCAGGTCGCATGACGACCGGGCAGGGAAGAAACAACACAGGTGCATTGCCTTTTTGGCATCACGTACGACAGGCATGTGTGAGTTTGACAATGCTTCTTCTGCAACTGCCAGCGCAGTCCATGAAAGCATTCTCTGCCACACCGCCGGCACGGAAGTCAGAAAATGTACAAGTAATCGCAACCTGCATTGCGGCGTCGAGCGGCCGACAAATGACCTCCACGTTCTCCTGTAGCAGCACCAAGAGCCCAGAGCATCAGGACTTGCGTGGCGCAGGTCGCGTAAGGGAGCCTAGGCAGCCTGGGCTGCAAGGCCCTCGTGGCCTTCACTGCCACTTTCAGTCGCTGTCGGCGCCTGGCTTTTCCCACACGCTGGGCGAAACCCATGAGAGCAAGCTGCTCGTAGCGTACCGACAAGTGGGGTTGCACAAAAACCCCGTTATGAATCCGCTATCCCCAAACTGGGATATCGGAGTTTGTACTTCTTATTATCGTTTTACAGGGTATGAGGCATTAGCGCCTGTTACACACATGGGGGAAAGCTCTGGCTCGTGGTGGCTTGCAGCATCTTACAACCCATGTACAAGTATGTATCCCAAGCTAGTAGACCGTGGAAGGAGCGGCAGCAGTAGCAGTGGGAGTAAGGGTATGGTACTAACAGGACTGGTCATGCTTGCATTACCCGCAAGTAGCACCAGCAAGACTAGTCAGTAGTTATAGCAGTACCAGCACTATTGCTAGCAGTAGCACCACTCGTAGTACTAGCAGTAGTCGTAGTAGTAATCACAACAGGATTAGTATAGCATACATTGTGACCTTATACTTGCTGTTTTTGCTTTTATCGTTTGACAGGCTAAACCATACGAGGGGCATCTCAAACGCATACACACAACCCCCCCTTTTTATACAACCTCAAGTTGCCTGAACCCCTAACCCCTAAACATCCCCAAACTCAAACCCTCCACAGGCCTTAACCCCTAAACATCCCTAAACCCAAAGTAATTCCTAACCCTAAACGGCCCTCAACATCCCTAAACATCCCTTATTAGCTCTACATAAACCCTAAACATCCCTAAACCTCAACCATGACCCAAACCCAAACTGTCTGAAGCCCTGGAAGTCTTCGCATTTGCATCCTTCCGAACTTACACTTACCTTTGCTTAGTAGGGAACGGAGGAATGGGGTACAATTATAACTACTTACTATTACATTCTTCCATTCCCTACTAACCAAAGGTAAGTACATGCCAGCGTCACGTCTGCGGGTCCACCCGCTTGGCTGCCTGCATCGCTGGGGGCTCAGAGCTTCAGGGATTGGGTGAATTCGAGCTTGTATAGGTTTTGACGTTTCCGGGTTCAGGGCTTTTCGGTTTTAGATGCTTTAGGGTTAATTAGGGGTTTCGGACTTAGGCATTCGGTTTAGGGTTTCCGGGTTGCGCGAATGGATAGGGTGGGAATCGTTCGACCAAAGCCGGCCCCTGATACAGAATCTCAACTCTGATGACCATCTTCGCAAGTGCTTTAGCAAGATGGCGCTCCCAAAGGGCCCAAGCAATAGTATAGCATATACTTTCGGGGCCGAAATACCTAAGAAGTACCTATATACTATAATGGTAATGGAGCCCTTTGGACCTGTTGTCGTCGATAAACTGCTATCTGGGACTGAGACTGTGGAACTGTAGACTTTCTGCTGGTAGGCCATGAACCCTGAACCCTCAACCCTGAACCCTAAAAGCCGCAGCATCCCGAAAGCCTAAACTGAAAAAAACGAAGGCGGCTCCAAAAACAAAAAAAAACAGACAAAACTGAGCCGGTCCCGGTTCAGCTGCCTCGGCAATCAGGTTGCGCCCTTGTCCTCGCGATGCTGGCTGCTGGGATGCTCTTCTGAGTTAGTATAGGGGCCGGTTCCTTTGAAGGGGCCCTTCAAGGGCTACTATAAGGGAGTTAGTAAGCCCTGTGAGTTGGATGAGTTGTAGGATCTATTCGCTTAATTCTCTTTCGCTTGGCCTGCACGAGCTCTCGAACTTCTTCTGACCAGTTACAGCAAGTGGCCATACTCAGGGAAGCGGAAAAAACCCTTCGATTTTTTATAATGAATGCTGCGAAGGAGTCGCACCGCTTTTGCGCCAAACTACGTGCGAACTCCTCGTCTTCAAAAGATCACTCTTCCACTCTCTTATCACTCGAAAGGGATAAGGACTGCTCTCGGGCGGTTCAGATGCCGTAATGTCCTCGACAAAAAAACCTCTGTTGGCAAAATCGAATCAAGCTGTCCTATCGTTCCGAAAAGATATACACGTCTTGCGGAACAGTCGTCCGTAAACTCTGAACTTTGCTCTTTGGCATTCCTAGCCTTGAGACTTGACAAGATTGGGCTGCTCCTTTGTAGGGACAGCACAGCCTACGAACGCGCGCGACGCTACACACATAGGCATATAGGATCGCGAATGCATGATATTGCATGCATCGTTCTACACAGACACATCATCTGATCTTGCGGGGGTGTCCTTCTAAATGCTCTTGGAACGACTGTAGCGGGGGCGGGAAAACGCATCGAAAACCTGGCAAAACGTTTTTTTTGGGGAGAGCCGTGCTGGAGTCATAAGTGCTGTGATCTTTCAAGGGTCCTCCGGATTTCCGTGCCTATAGCTGTCTAAGACGAGGCTTGATCAACCGACTTCTGTCGCCAACCATTACATCCAACGCTCAGTCGCCCGTATTACAGCTGCAGCAGCCTAAACCCGAAAGCAGTGCTCCACAAACCGCAAAGGTTCATTCACCTCCAAGATCTCCTAAAGCTACTTTAAGAGGTACGAGCTTCAAACACAAACCCCGAAGCTTTAAAACATCAGCCCGAAACTCGGAAACCATCAGCCCGAAACTCGGAAGAGCCCTGCTCCGTCTCTCCTTCCACGTGCGTCCACATACCGTGCATCAGAGGCGTTGACGTGCGTGACTCGGCCTCAGAATGCCAGAAGGTTCCCCTTAAGCTCCATGTAGCTATATGGGTGGTTGTCAAAATTATGGCCCCCCTTTGTGTCCCCGTTGTAATACGGCACCTATTATTTAGGGTACCCCAAAACGGACCATAATTTGGACAACTACCCGTATAGTTATGTACTTAGGCCTTTAATGTAAGTACCTATATATAGGGAGCCCTATATAGGTACCCCTTTAAGGCCTAAGTATTACTACTAACTATATGGGTGACATGGAGCCTTAGGGGTTGTGGCTCATGGATCAGGGCTGCGAGTTTAGGATTGGAGGGTGAATCAGTGTTCAGGACTTCGAGTTGGAGTCCAAAGTTGAGGGTGTAAGTAGTGTTCTATGCACTCGAGCCTACGGACCTAAGCCTGGTTGAGGTCTCGTTAGGATCGGAGTTTAGAGTTAGGTGTACCTTATTTAGGGGGTCCTTATAATAAGGATCCTACTATTTAGGATGCTATATTAGGGTCCCCTGTCATGTTTCTAGGGTTATGTCGGTCGCTTCTGCCTCTTGTACGATGCTTTCGGGATGCTGCAGGTTGACAGTAATCTTTCATGTCTGAGTCTAATCCCAGGCCTACGTACCAGGGATTTGCACCACACTCTCCGTTTGGGATGCACTGTCTGCAGCATTCTGCGCAGCTAAATACGAATTCGGGAAACGGACAGGGCTGTTGAGGCTTCATGGATTGGGCTGAAGACGCGAAATTGAGACAACACTGCGTCAGTGTTTAGGATCGACATAGACGGCTGGAGACTGCAGCGCGCCTGCAGTAAAAATCCACTTAGGAGTTTCCGAAAATTAGGGGTACCTTATTTTGGGGGGTCCTTATAATAAGGATCCGGCTATTTAAGTTACAAAAAAAACCCAAGCCCCCAGGGTTGAACCACCAAACCTCGAAATCCCTATTAACTCCTAGCCCCAAACCACTTCTAAACCTAAACCCGAACCCTAACCCTAAACCCTAACCCTAATTCCCAACTCTAAACTCTAAACTGGCCTAAACCATAAACCTTTAAGCAGCTGAAACCTGTGGAGGCCGATTCTCAGAGGCTGCGGCGTCCAGACATCCCTGGCGCAGAGACGTTGCCCAAAAACGTTAAACCCGAAGTTCTAGACCTTCTGGGTTGAGCCCCTGGCTCTTGCAAAAACGGGGATTCGATGTGGGTGTAACGTCGGGCTTCCGGAGACTTGGGGTATATGGAAAGACGCAAGAAAGTCCTACCAAATGCCTCTGATTGGCTCAGAATGAATGAGAGGACCCGTATCGTACCTCTGACCTCTTATACACTCCTCAACAACACAATAATTATGCCACAGGGACTCACTTCCTCATGCGGCCCATGTGGCACACTTGTGGAGACCACCCAGTTCTCGCAGTCCTTGTTCGTGAAATGTTTGGCCAGGTGGATCCGTCCAAGACGACCTCCGCAAGACCCAGCGCGTCTCTGAGCCAGAACCTGTTCATGTCCTGGTTCACGGTAATCATGACATTGTTTTTTCGGTCGTTCTTGTCCAGGCTGCGATTTAGAACCTTCTTGTCTGCAAAGAAAGTCTCACGCGCACAGACTCCGTCCGTTCGCTTGAAGAAGCCCTCCAGTATGAATGCCAAGCAAAACTGGGCATCCGTCTTGCTTGAATTTCTTCTGCGTGCCGTCTCGAGGTCGGAGTCACCGTGGAGGAGATTGCTAGATTGAGAGCCAGAGCGTGGAAAATCCCTAAATCCGAATCCTGCAATGTAGGGGGCGTTTTGGGGTATAGTATACTATCACAAGGCACCCCTAAAATAGTATAGGTAATTATTCAGGCACCTACATCACCCTTCTAAAGTAAGAAAGGCTCAAGCTTTCCTACTTCGACAGGGAGCTCAACAGGCGGGTCTCGGAGGATGTACGTCTAGGCTTTAGGGTTTAGGGCTCAGGGTTTAGGGTGTAGGATCGTTCTAAGGTGGTATAGGTCTACCTTAACCCTGAAATATCCTACCTTTTAATTCAAAGACTTATAGTTATTATCAGCGAATCATTTCTAAGGAACCCTGGAAAGGTAGGTTTTTGGGGGGTTCAGGTAGGGCTTGTATACAGAGTTTAGGGTTTAGGGCAATTAAGCAAGTAATTAGGGGCCGCGCTCCAACCTGACACCCTGAAAAGTTGTTCGTAAAAAGCAAGGCTAGGTAAGGCCTGAAATATTAGCGTCCTGTACTTTCTGAAAACCTGACATTGGCGGTGTAGCGACAAAGGACACCGGCGACAGAACGACTGCAGAAAGAGCAACCGCAGCAACGCTGGAGCAGGAGGAGGAGCGGGACGACGAGCCGAAGATGGCCTCTTCCGATTCCCTGAAACAGCCATCATCGTGCTAATTGCTGTAGCCTAAAGAAGCTGAAACAAGGCCTGCGAATCTTGATGGCTGGGACATAACTGTCGGAGGCCTCCACAAAACCGGAGGGAGGGGACCCGGGAGATGTTCGACGACAGCGAAGAGGAGGGCTACAAACCAACATTCTCCTACCCGAACTCTACCTGAACTCCCAAACCCCAACCCCTGTGAGCCCTCAACTTGACCTTTGAATATGTAGTCTGGAGATAGGACTGCAACAACATAAAATGAACAATTTTTCAGGTAACCTACAATGTTAAGTACAACATGATAAGAAGGTAAGCAACGAAAATTGAGAAGGCACCACAAACCAGGGTCTCGGTAAGCTGTAGGATGCCAGCCGTCGGCAGATTCCAGACCCGCAACGGCCCGTCCCCCTAACCCAAACCCAAACTTCAAACCGCAATGCCTAAAACCCTAGAACCCCCAAACCCTGAACTCTAACCGAATCTAACCCTTAAACCTTAAACCTTCTTAAACCCTAGGTGGCTGGCAACAGGATCGGCCTGCACATCCCCCAAGCTGTTGCTCCTTGACAGAATCCTGGACAGGCGGGATAGGAAGGCAGTAGGGCTCCTGTTGGGATTTAAGGTCTAGGGTTTCCCAAACCTTCCAACATCACTTAATTAAGGAATATACCTTAAATCATATTGGGGATGCTACTTCAACTCCAACAATAATCCTCCATTAAGGGACATTGGAGGGTCTGGGTCCTTTGGGGGTTCTATGTTGAAGGGTTCCTTTAGGGATTCTACCAGGGATACCATAAGGGGTTCTACACTGTAGGGGCATTGATTATTCTTCGAGTACGGTTTGGGGATTAATAAGCACCTGAAGGAAAACAAAGGTAGTTGGGCCCCTGTATCAGGATGGGGAAGGTAGCGCCCAACACAGCTGGGATAGCAGTTCATGGCTGCATGGAGACCAACTGACAAGCTAATGCTTACAGCTCTGGACTGTGAGGACAGTGCGGCCAAGGCGACGGCAGTAAATTTTGGGTAGACTATGGTCCATGGACACCGGGACCGCAACAGGATAGTTCCCTCAACCCTAACCACTATGCTCAGCATTGAAGGGCTCAAGGATTGGAGTACGGGCTTCGCTTTTTGGAGGCTGGGATTTACGGTTTAGGTTGGCTAACCATTCAGGCAGCTCAGTTTCTCAGTCTCACGTGATTAGGGCTTAGGGCTCAAGGCTTGCTTCCCAGAGATCGTGGAATCCGAAAGTCCAGAGCATTCTGCAAGGGTCTAGGGCGCAAGTTCTGAAACCCTTCGCCATTTCAGCGAATTAGACAGGGTCCCGCCAATATGGAGGAACCCCGCTTGTGACAAGAAAAACCCATGGCGACACACGGAGCAAATAGCGGTCTTTGTGCTTGCTTCTGACAATGTCGCCGAAACCTGCGCAGGGTGATGTAGAATGGAGAATGGCTTGAACTTCAGCTACTTCTCAGAACAAAAGCAAGAGGTGGTGTGGTCCTATATATATATATATATATGTATATATATATATATATATATATATATATATATGCATGTGTGTATATATATATATATGTATATATATATGTGTATATATATATATATATATATAAGCACTAGACACAAACGCGCAGTGTTGCAAATGACCCAGGCCCTGTACCAAGCGAAACTCACCAGAGGGACACTTCGGCACCTAAACACGAGCCCCACCACCCTGGGCCCAGAGCACATGAGTTCAGGTTCAGTGTGGGTCTGTGGGCTCGTAAACAGCAGCCGTAGAAGCGAAGAACACGGTAGCTACGCGGAAGAAATATCTGATACCAAGACCTCCTTGCGGCTAATAGGGGCCTTTCTACCTGGGAACAAGGGTTATGGGTTATACTATATATAGTATCATCATACTTAGGAACCATGAATGATAACATTGCTAGCTATTCAGGCTTCTCATCTTATTACAGAGCGTCATATCGAAATATTGCACCCGGGAAACACAAGAGTGAAACACAACCACTCGCGGCGACTTTGCAGCATTGCATCCAAGAGTCAACGTCCCGGTCCCAGTACCTACCTACTCATCATATGCCCGCCGAAAAACGAACATCCATCACACACTGCCATCCGAAAACTTCGTGTTTATTGGGTCTCTGGAGTGCTCAGTGTCCGCAGAGGTCAAATAAACAGCCAACAGCCTGAAATGTTCGCCAAAAATTGAGAGCTGGAGTCAAGGCAGCCTAAAATACAAAACCCACAAACTTCGCGCCCCATATGTATTACCCAAATGCAAAGCCCCCTACACTCCCAAAACCGCAGCCCTTAAACACCAAATTCTACGAAAGCCGTGCCAGCCCCCTCTCACACCTGTAAATTCGTAAACACAAAGCCACGAAACCTTCGTGAAACCACTGTAGAGGAACCTTGCAGACTGCTACAAGTATATTACAGCCTTATAGAACCCCTTGAAGGAACCATCAAAGGAATCCTATTACACCCTTATAGAACCCTTGAAGAAGCCCTGGGTTAACCCCCTGTAAGAACCCTTGAAGGAACCCTTAAATACCCCCAGCCGGAATCCAGAACAGCGAACCCAAAGGGTCCTAGGTACTGTTATGGAGCATACTTCCTCACATGATAGAAGTAACTCATAAGATAGAAACCCCACATTCCGCATCCTAGGTACTTAGGACCCTTTGGATAATCGTGACTCCTTCTTGGAGGGGCAGGGGACTTAGTAGCTTATAAGTAGGGTTATAATTGGGGTAACTCCATTTAGGGTACTTGTAACTCTACTTATAACCTACTTACTAAGTCCCCTGCCCTTCCAAGTAAACTCCTAATCTAACCAGTGATTTTGGGGTTCCCTTGGCTCTTTAGCTCCTTATCTAGTAGGGATTATCATCATCCCTGGCTCCTTAGCTCCCCCAATATCAATGGTTACCCATACCCCCCAAAATAGTTCCTTTTTGGGGTTCGTATATAGAATTCTACAAGGCAATCCCAAAAAGGAACTACTTTGGGGCCTCTGGGTACTTGCTAAGTCCCCTGCCCCTCCAAGTAATATCGAAACATGAATCGCCGCCTGTCGGCTGACGAGACCGGGCTTCACAGGCCGCCTCGATTCCCGTGGGTTCAGGGGTTGCAGCCCTCAAAGGAGCCCTTACAGGAACCTTCAAGAGTTTAGTTTAGGGTCTAGTCTACAAAAAAAGGTAGGTGTTGGTGGGTTAAGGTAAACCCTCTAAGAAAAAGACCATTAAGTCTAGATCAACCCTAATAATTATGAATTTATAGGGACCCTGCAAAAAGGTAGGTTCTCGCGGATTCAGGGTTGACGGTCCAGGCTACTTAGTGGGTTAAGGGGCTCATAAACCCAGACCTTCCAAAATCCCTTAATTAAGGAATATCCCTTAAATATTATAGTAGGATCCTTAATATGATTTAAGGTATATTCCTTAATTACGGGATTTTGGAAGGTCTGGGAACTTCAGATTTAGGGTTCTGGGTTTGGGGTTCTCGTAGGTTCAGTGCTCGGAGTCTATGGCTGAAGGGTTTAGGGCTTGGGGTTTCAGGTTTAGGGTTTGGGGCTGAAGGTTTGGGGCTTTGCGTCCGGGGTGTAGCGTTTGGGGTCTGCGAGGCTGCTTCTGAAGAGTGGTTTTTCATACCCAGACCTTCCAAAATCCCTTAAAAATCATAGTAAGGATCCTACTATAATTTAAAGGATATTCCTTAATTAAGGGATTTTGGAAGGTCTGGGTACAAGGGGTCGAGGCTTCTAGTGACTTAGTGCTTTGGCTAGGGATGTAGGGGCTAGACCCTGTTTTAATATAGACGTCCCGCCTCCAACCCGAAAAAAGCCCGGCAAACGAACCAATCAAAACCCAAAGCCCTAAACCCTATACACCCTAAACCCCAAAACATCCTAAAGCCAAAGCCCTAAACCGCAACACACGACCTTCAAGGTGATGCTGCCGTGGAGCACACGTGCCATACTGAAACGAGCCTTTGCAGACTTCTAATTTAGGGGCCTTTAGATTATAAATAGGGTTTAGGGTTTAGGGTAATATTTCGATAAAAAGGGATCCTTTCAGGGTTGCTTGTAGTTACAAGGGTAGTATGAGGGCCTTGATTCATTGGAGTAGGCTTCCTTTACGGTTTGCTATAAACATGTAACATCTGGGCTTGAATCATTAGAATAGGCTTCCTCGGAGGGAATAGTAGTATTATGTATTTCGGTTCAGGAGTCTACATCAAAAAATCTAGGAGTCTGAAAAACTAGAGATAGTATCCCCTACCGTACCTGTGCCAGGATTTAGGGCTGAGGGTTTGGTATTGGACTATACGTATACCTGTGCCCCATCACTCTGATCCAGCTATTTAGGCCGGTTCTCCTTGACCGGATTCTCCTGCTCTTGGTGTATTGCAGTTGTGTGTAAGAGATGGGTAGTTCTCTAAATTAGGATCTCCTTTTAGGTACCCTTCTAAAAAACTAAATGACAGGGGCCCTAACTTAGAGAACTAACAATATGGCCTTGAGGACACTTGCGTGTCTTGGGGAAGCCCCGGGTCCTGGAAAATAGGACTGAATAGTGAGGGTGTGGGTTCAAAGTCTTGAGCGTTTCGGTGGCCTGGCATTGAAGGCGTCGGGGTTTGCAGCTTCGGGTTACGATTTTATTAGGAGTCGGAGTGTGGCGTGTAGGGAAGTCAAAAAGGCCCTCCCCAAGATTATTCCGGCAGCTCAGCGTCGGGTGACACGAGCGAGTGTGAGCTCTGACCTGGACACCAAACTCTCAACCCGAACCCGTAAAGCCCAAGGCGCTCCTTCTCCAAAATGAGATGAAAACCAAACCTCGAAATCCAAACCAAGACAGCTCGCACACTTATGGCTCGTAGGAACACATAGACTCCAAACTAAGACTACTATGGTGCTTCCTTTAAGGGTACCGTGAGGGCTCCTTTATGGCTTGACTCAGGCTTTCTATGATCTATAATAAGGCTTAATTAGGATTCCTGTGATGGGGCCCCCGAGAAAGCACGTAAGAAAAGCTTGGGATAGCGAGATCCGACACCAATCCCGTCATAATGCAGCCCATTAATTCAGGCAGTGATATCCCATCCTCGTTGGGTACCTACTTTCATGATCATGGGACTTGTAACTAGGGGTAACTATACTTATACTTACGTATAACTTATAACCCCAACTAAGGATCCTCCAAGTAGACCCTAAGCCCCCAGCAGAACCCTTTAAGCAACCCTTTAAGGAGTCCTTTAAGGATCCCTTCAAGGAGCCTTACAAACTCCCATGAACCTCCAAGCAAGGCTTAAGAGGAACCCCCGCCTCTCACCGAGGTGACTCTGGCGCTGTGGAAGCTCGAACCGGGGGGGCAAACGCTGCGTTTGGGATAGCGCATTCCGGGACTTCAGGTGGGTGGTTGTCAAAATTAGGGTCCCTTTTGGGGCACCCCAAAGATCAGGTGCCGTATCATAATAAGGACCCGAAGAGGAACCCTAATATTGACAACCACCCAGGTGAAGTTTGGTTTGTTTCGCCAAAGCTTGCAGGGTTTCGGCTGTGCAGGGCTTATAGAGCTTGTTAGGTTTGGGGCTGAAGACGCAGAACTTAAGGATTGAACCATGCGGGGTGGAGTTTGGGGTTGAGGTTCAGGGATTAGAGTTTGATGTTTAGGGTGTTCTTATCTTTAGATAAGGGCTTCGGAACTTGGCTAAAGATTAGAGCTTCTGTGTGGAATTCCGGAATTCGATTTTTATCCTCTAAACCCTAAGCGTAATCCTGAACCTTGAACTGTGAAGCGGGCACCTGGCAGAAGCCGAAGGGACCCTGAGGCGTAGCTGCTAAACTAAAGAGCTAAGCTCCTAAAGCGCAAGCCCAAAACCATGAGCCCTCGACCCGGAGAGAACGCGGAACATCGGCGGCCGGCGCTGGTTCACCGTGTTCATATAGGGGCCCGAATAATTAGATTAGGGTCTTGGGGCCCAATCCGTCTATACTTATAACAAGGACCCCACCTCCCCCCCTCAAGAACCAAAAAAAACAAAACAAATGCCGTAGGATTCGGAGTAGGGATCGGGGTATAGAAGACTAGAAAGCTTCCTGCGTCTCTGACTACTCTACGGCTGTACTACATCAGTTTGTTTGGGGAACAAGTAAACCCCTCTGGGGCCTGCATTTTGAGATAAAATAGCCCTTGATAATGTCAGCAGCGTTCCTTCAATCAAAAAAAGTGCTTACAATGATTCTGGAAAAAAGAGTTACATTAGCATAGGGGCCAGCAAAAGGTAGACTAGGGTGTTGTGGCCTGATGGGGTAGGAACCCTGGTGATTGCCTTCACAAACTCACAAACTGCAAGCTTCTCGAGGCCCCAACCAGCTTATGGCCAGCACAGGGTTTGGTTGTACGTGTGGTAATTTGGGGGTTGCGGAAGCTTGCCCTAAACCCTGACTCGCTAGCAGAACCTACTTCCTTTCTAGAGCATCTCTAAAATCTAGCTGAAATTTTGAGTGAGGGTTGAAAATAATAAGAACCTGCCGAAAAGTAGGTTATGGCGTATTGAAGTAAACACCAAACGGGGTAGAGTCAAAGTTTAGGGGCTTTGACCCCCGGACACAGCAGGTGGCGCATGCTTCCAGCCAGGATCCTTCTCCAACGCACGCCGTACCTCGACTTCCCAACAACACCCCCACTATAGACACCTTAATTCCTAGAAGGGGGATTTGGCGGAGTACAATATTAGTACATAGTATTACTCCTTGGCACCCTAAGGGCCGATACTACTGATCAGGCCTAGACTACAAACTCTTGCGACAAACCTCAGAAGCAGGATCGGATCTTAAGTACAGTATCGTAGAAGTGAACACGGAATGCCACGTTTATTGGCACTTAATTGTACAGGCTTCTATATAAAAGAAACCCTTGCCCGCCAGTGTCAAGAACCATCAGATGGATCGGACAAAAACACACTCAACACAACGGCCTAGATGCAGTCCAAGAGTCTATGCCGCACTGGCTTGTAGTGGTGATTGCAGACTAGTTATACCAGATCGTATTGTTCTGTCCCTTCAAAATGGCAAACCACACCACACCAGTGCATAAGATAAAATATGTCCCAGAAGTCCGTATTGTGTTGTCTTCTGCAGGAACCGGTCGTTCAAAGGAATCTGTACGGGCATATACATCACACCGCTTTCGCGGTGGTCCCGGTTGCCACTTCAAGGCGAATCGAAGCTCGCCTACTCTACGCCACATCGCGCAGGCTGAGGATGTAGGCCCTGAACTGTAATCCCCAAAGCAACCTGTAAGCTCTAAACCTTAACCCCAAGGACTTGTTGAACCCTGAAACTGCCTAAGACGGTCCCTGAAGACTAGGAAAAGTTGTAGGGTTTAGGGTTTAGGGTTTAGGGTTTAGGGTTTAGGAAGGACAAAGAAAGCGTCACATGACAAATTCCAGCGGCTTCGATGGAGAGCCTCTGAGCTCCCAAAGGGTCCAACGGTTGATGATATAAATCCTGGGGTTCCTTTAAAGGGGATCTACTAAGGGTACCTTTAAGGGGGTTCCGTTAAGGGATCTATAGGGTTTAGGGTTTGGGGATATAAATCCTGCATTACCCATAAGAAGGAATATACCATAATTCCCATAGTTTAGGGTCCCTAAGGTAATGCAGGATTTATATCATCAACCGAAGTACTGGTACAGTATATACTTTTGGGGCCCAAATACCTACTATAACGGTACTTAGACCCTTATGGGCTAAACTTTTAAACTCCAAACCCAAAATAATGGCCCAAAACCTATAAACAGCCATTATTCTACATACTTTGGTAAGCTAAACACTAAACCCTTCTTGGAAGGGCAGGGGACTTAGTAAGTAGGTGATAAGTAGGGTTATAATTGAGGTAATTCCATTTAGGGTACTTATAACCTACTTCCTAAGTCCCCTGCCCTTCCAAGTTAACTCCAAACGCAAAACCATCGACCTCGAGCTGCCGACACCAAGGGTGCATATGGGCGGTTGTCAAAATTAGGGTCCCTTGTTGGGTACCCTAAATAACAGGTGCCGTATTATATTAAGGACCCAAAAAGGGACCGTGATTTAAAGAACTACCCATATGAAATCTATATATCAGGGTTGAAGTAAGTTATGGTAGGTAAAAGTAGGATGTTCTTTTTGGCTGAAAGCGCTAAAGGTGTGGCAGGACTTATGGCCGGTTCCAACTTGCGGCTTGCTTCAGAGCACCGTTTACGGAAGAAGCTTAAAGGGAGCTGGAACATAAGGCAGCCAAATATTACTATACTGAATTTAGAACCCTAGCAAAATTGTGATTTTAGCTGTTTCTTAGGGATTATAATTATCAAAAATTTAAAAATTATTTCTAAGTACCCCTAAGATTAGACTTGGGCTTTGGGCGTTGGCCAATGGTGTTTAGCGTGTGGTTTAGGGTCGCAGGTTTAGGACTCATAATTGATTTTGAGGTGTTGGACTAAATCCCGCACCCTAAACCCTAAACCCTAAACCCTAAGTCCCACAAGAAGCGCGCCTCTTGCGTTGCCAGGTCGAGGCAGTTCTTCTCCTGAACGGCGGGTTGAGGTTGCCTTGGAGGTTCTCTTCTCCCGCTGATGCTAGGGTTGCGGACTTGCGGAGTTCGGGTTCATAGTATGGTAGAGTCCCCAGACCTTCCAAAATTCCTTAATTAAGGAATATCCCTTAAATTATAGTAGGATCCCGAATATGATTTGAGGTATATTAAGGGATTTTGGAAGGTCTGGGTAGAGTCTATACATCCAGTTGCAAGGACTAGGAGGCTTCAGCCATTGCCGGGGTGATGTCCGACAACTTCCGACATGACATACCTATAGTCTCAGTTGCAGTTCCTTTGTTGGGTCAACCAATGTTTATATAAAGATCCGATAAAGTAACCCCAAACAGGAACAACAACGAAGACTGCAGATAAAGACTGATGGCAAGGGATAGTT